GAGCCCTTGTAGCTTTTTTCATAAGTAAAGGTGAGTGGTGCAATCACTGCCGAAAAGCAAAGTCAAAAATTAGTTTTAAGAATCCGGTTGGAAGACGATTTTTAGTAGCTGACGTTCCTACTTCATACCGATCAACCCTCGTAAGAAGAGGAAGTAGCATACAAGGGTAAAGTCACATAGGAGATGCGGTTATTACATAATCGCACACCTATAAAAATGTCGCTACGACATTAATGGTTGACGGCGATACTCGCTGCGCTATTTGGAATCGGCATGCATACAGTTTACCTGATCTTGCCGTGGTATTCATCAGACCTTTGATCAGTAGGGGGTTTTCGCAGTTGGTTGACCTAAAGCCATCCCCTAGCTAGCGTGGGTTTGAGTCCGCCATGTTTGCATTTCGCAAGTGATCAGTACGAAGCTCGTTCAAAACCCGACAGCCCAACGTACCTGAAATATCCTAGGATAAGGCTGCACGATAATCAATATCCTAACCCTACCCAATCTTACTCGAATTGAAAACCCCTTTTAGAACTTTGGTTGACACTTCATGAGATAGGCCAGCCACCATATATACCCGGTCAGATATCTTCCGAATATTTAGAGGGCGCAACAAACAGAATTTCACTTGTTCAAAACGTAGAAATTTAGGCCGCCCCATTTTTCTGCCAATGCTAATTCCTATACAGAATATCAAAGTTATCTTGAATCCAGTACAGAAGAGCAAGAGATTGCGCTGGGATGAAGACCCAGATATTCTGGACAATATCAGACAGTTCATGCCGACATTAAACAGCATTTACTGAGTCCAAACGGTAATTATCCAAATATCAACAAAAATCAGTGGCAGAAGATATCCCTATTAGTGTCTCGGAATGCACCACAGTTAACTGGAAGGCGAGACTACTGAATTGCACTAACTCCGAAACGCCTTCACAATAAATGGCCACGAACACGGTTTCACCAACCAGTGTAAGCAAAAACGAGGAGAGATAGCAGGCCACAGGAAGCCCAAATTATGGCGAGCTTCCACCTCAAACCGCGAGGCAATTATCTTGAGTACGGTGCCCAGGTTAAAGGTCTGAATGCCATGCCAAAAACCTATGAAGTCGTTTGCTAGATTTAGTATAATTACTATGGCAGAAGACGGTCGAACACACCGAACCTGAAGTCAAGACTTCCTCCACAGGACCAGACTACGTCTTAATGTTCGACGCGGCCTAAATCCTACTAAAGTAGTCAGTTTTACAGAGTTTTGCAGGCGAACGAACATGCATGCATTCAAAAGCCGGCAGCCTGGCATGACTGAAATATCGTGGGATTAGGCTGCAGGTTAATCAACCTTACTCAAGTAAGTTGTTCTAATCAAAAACGCATTTGAAATTTTGGGTGGAATTTCGTGAGACAGGAAAGCTATTGCATATCGACAATCTTTCTGCATTCTTATTGCCTTAGAAAATGAAGGAAATCGGAAGAGACCCCTAGGTCTGCCCTAAATAACCTTTGGCCGCCATGATCCAACTGACATGCATGCTGTAGCTCGGGAGACCGAAAAGTGGAGGGATAACAGGGATCATTTGCCTAGGAGTAAGTAAAGAGGACATTAGGTCCTACCTTGATGTCACTGGGTAGACGCAAGTAGTGGAGTTCCGGCTCCATAGTTTCTGGGTTGGTCTGGATGAGAATCTTGCCCAGGCGCACGTCTTTGCAGACAACACAAAGAGAGGGCTCAAAGGCCTCTCCGGCGCGGAGAATTGAGACGCCGCATATCTGGGTGTTGGGCGCCAGCCGACGACCGTGGTAGGGGACGCCTTGTGGAGTGTCCACAACCACATCCTGTAGAGGAGGAATTAGGGAAATAAATGGATGCATGGTTAATCTTAAAAAAAGGGTTGGGGTCAAATTAAGAAGCAAATACTTGCATAAAAACGTGACAGGTCAAGCCGCTACTGCAGTTGTTTAACTTACGAGGAAATATCTACATAAATCATTTAGGTGCCCCAAGGGAAGCGAACAGATCTTTCAACGGTGCAGTTGCAAAGATTGTGTGTATAGGTATTATAAAATAGCATTTATTTTCTATTAATTAATTTTTGATTCGAAGGCAGGGAATTTAGAAGTCGGAATGATTAAGGGCAACCTGAAAAGTGGATATTATGTTGAAAGACAGGAGCCCACACAGTTACTAGAATCGGGCTTTTCATTTGCTTAGACGAGACTGAACTTAATTTTCAAGAATGGAAGCATGCAAACTTAAACCTCTCGGGACAGAAATCCTTTATGAATACGAGAGGATTCGAAATCAACCGAATATAAATTCACATTAAAAAAAAACCATACATCAGCATGCTCAAGCAGGATTTTACGAGCTGTTCTAGAATCCCACGATAAACGCTCTTCGTGCCCAACCTGAATGATTTACTTGATGACTCGTCTTTTCTTTTTCCTATGTCCACATCCTTTCAGATTATCTCTGTTTTTTGATGTAATGGGAGTCGTCAAGTGGAATAACCCTATTCTGAGCAGGCATCAACCACATTATCCGAAATTTTGCGCCAGCAGATTTACGTGACAAAGGAACAACTTGATTATTTGTTTTCTTTTTCATAAATACTTTTAGGTGGTATTACAGTAGAATGTCCATCTTATGAAATTTCAACCGAAAGTCTGAAATGTCTTTTTGATTCGGAGAAAGTACTAAATTATAGTTTTAATATTATCATGCAGCCTAATCGCAAAATATTTCGTTCACTTCAGGAGGCCGACGTTAGAACGAGCTTACTCTAGGCTGCCTGTAAAAAATCACCTGTAAAAATGACTACTTAATTAGCATCTATTTTTCTCATCGATTTTCGAGGCCCCTATCAATTCAAATATATTTTATAGAAAACATCCATTAAAATACAATTTCTGTGGGCACTATTGAGACATTTTAATTATTGCGCGCAAAAAATCGATTATTTAAATCAGCTGCTTGGTGACCTAAATTGAACTGTTTCCCTCTTAGCGCACCGCGATAGCCATTGAACTTATTATCTAGTCCCATACCGAGGCCCCAGGCAATTCCCGGGCCGGTTAGTTAACTTGTGCGGGGAATGGGCGCGGCTACCAACACACCCAATGATCTTGTCTATGATGAAATGGATCC